GTCATTCACGTGTAAAAAGCAGCCTATCGCATTAAATATCCCAGAGAGGGGAAAAGACCAAGAATCTTGCCCGGAAGGAAATCTTTCTGCCTTGGGAGGCTGAGGATCACCTGTTTATAGAGCGTTACAAAATAATCAGATCTTAACAGACAGAAATGTATGTGCCAATATGTCCCTGTCAGTCATGGGGAGGCCCCTTGTCTGAATGCTTCCAAAATTGCTTTCACGGTCCGACATTGCTATATTTATCACTTTGCCTTCAGACAGGCCAGAGGTGGGTTCGTGGAGTGTCAGTTTCCCAACCACCCATAATTCCAGGAACCATCTGAAGATCCCTGGAGAAGAGCCAAGAAGGACAGTGTGGAGAGGGAATTTGGAGGGGCACTATCAGGTTAGAAGTGGACATATCCCATTATCCACATGCCTGCCACAACAAGCAAAGGCATCACCATCGTATGTACTGTTTGTTTGTCGCTTTTTGCAGAAAGCTCTCTGTTCAAAGAGACTTTCAAAAATAAAACACTGAAAACAAGTGTAAAAGCAAGCTTGAAAACAACCTAAAATGCTTATCTATATATACACACACATATATATAATACAGAGAGAGAGAGAGATCCAATTCAACCCTACCCCACTGAAAGACAACCAGAAATCTAGCGTCCAAAATCCTAAGTGAATAAGCATGTTTCTTGCCTGGCATGTAAAAGTAGATAGTGATGGTGCCAGGCATGCCTCCCAAAGGAGAGAATTACCCAGGCAGGGAGCCACTACTGAGAAGGTCGGTCTGGTGATATTAATGACTTACCCTCCAACTGTACCAATTTTCCAGAGACAGTCCGGAATTATGAAAGCCATCCTGGCTTCTGATTTGATCCTGGAATGTTCCTATTTCTCCGCAAGTGCTGCCGCCACCAAGCTTGGGAGAAAGGGTGAACCGGCGCTTGTCCCAGGTGTCAGCGGCTGCAGCAGCTGTGAGGCAACATCCCATTGCCTCTCCATGTCCTCTGCTGCTGGCCTCCTCCCTTGGGCAGCTCATAGCAACCGCTGGAAAGCAGGTGAGGAGGAGAAGAGGATGCTGCCACCGAGGACCAGCCCCACGGGACACATTGGCTCTGAGATGCATAGCCGGGGAAAATAGGGACATTCCAGGATCAAATCAGAAGCTGGGATAGCTTTCATAATTCTGAGCCTGTCCCTGGAAAATAGGGACAGAGGTGGGAAAATAAATGGACTTATTCTGCTAATTTACCAATAAACCGCCCTGTGGAACGCTATCCCACCAGATGTCAAAGAGAACAACAACTACCAGACTTTTAGAAGACATCTGAAGGCAGCCCTGTTTAGGGAAGCTTTTAATGTTTAATAGGTTATTGTATTTTAGTGTTTTGTTGGAAGCTGCCCAGAGCGGCTGGGGAAACCCAGCCAGATGGGCGGGGTATAAATAATAAATTATTATTATATTATTATGATGACACTAACTTCCCACTATGTTCTCCTCCCTAAAGGTAAAGGTAAAGGTAAAGGTACCCCTGCCAGTACGGGCCAGTCTTGACAGACTCTGGGGTTGTGCGCCCATCTCACTCAAGAGGCCGGGGGCCAGCGCTGTCCAAAGACACTTCCGGGTCACGTGGCCAGCGTGACAAAGCTGCACTGGCGAGCCAGAGCCACACACGGAAACGCCGTTTACCTTCCCGCTGGTAAGCGGTCCCTATTTATCTATTTGCACTCGGGGGTGCTTTTGAACTGCTAGGTTGGCAGGCGCTGGGACCGAGCGACGGGAGCGCACCCCGCCGCTGGGATTCGAACCGCCGACCTTTCGATCGGCAAGCCCTTGGCGCTGAGGCTTTTACCCACAGCGCCACCCGTGTTCTCCTCCCTAGCTCTTCCTAAAAACACCAAGTCAAACACTTCTCACCGCCCCCGAGCCCCCCCTCCCAAGAGTAGTAAAAACAAGAAAGTCCTTTCGAATAGGGACATTCTGTGACACACTATATCCTGTCGCAATTAAAGGCTCAGATGAATTACAGCCTCAATGAAGCATGTTTTCCTGCATTGCTCCATGAAGCAGCACACACACACTGTCTCCTCTGCAATGCTTTCCAAAATGCTTTCTATTTTGGTTTGAGGCTGCTGTCCGCATTAGCTGCGTCGTGTTACAGTAGTTGATGGCCCAGGTTTCATTTCAATATCTTGTTTGACTCCCTTCTGCCCCCTTCTGTCCTGAGGCACTGGATCTTCTGCGGCAATGTGCCACTGTTATCTCTTCCAGTGACAACCACATCCAAACATGGGCACAACCCGAAAAAGGCAGGTTATAAACTGGCAGCAGCTGTTTTCAATAGAGACATTCGTTGCAAAGAAACTTTGTCAACATGTGGTAATCTTCTGCTTTCTGAAATGATGGGGAACCTGTGGCCCTCCAGGTGTTCTTTGACTCCGAATCACATCAACCCAAGTCCACTGCAACTCTGGGAGTCCCTCAGATTTGCCACCTCTGTTGTCCCCTCCAGATTTTGCAGGACCACAGCACCCAACGACCCTAGTCAGCATGTTCAGTAGCCAGGAAATATGGGATTTGTGTCTTAAGAGAATTTGGAGGTGGCCACATTGTCTACCCATGGTTTAATCTTAATGTGGTTTCCCCACTATTTTTTTTGCACTGTTGTTATTTTAACTTTTCCTTTTGAGGTTTATATTTTGTTGTTTTCCTTTGCCTTGCTTTTTTCATCTTGTACTTTCCTACTTCTTTGCAATTATTATTATTATTATTATTATTATTATTATTAACTATAAACTTAAGCTACAGTTCTATATACAGTGGTACCTCAGGTTACATACGCTTCAGGTTACATACGCTTCAGGTTACAGACTCCACTAACCCAGAAATATTATCTCAGGTTAAGAACTTTGCTTCAGGATGAGAACAGAAATTGTGCTCCGGCGGTGCGGCGGCAGCGGGAGGCCCCATTAACTAAAGTGGTGTTTCAGGTTAAGAAGAGTTTCAGGTTAAGTATGGACCTCCGGAACGAATTAAGTACTTAACCCGAGGTACCACTGTACACACTTAACTGAGAGTAAACCCCCCCCCCAACTCGATGGGGCTTAGTTCTGAGTAGATGCGTACACGACTAAGCAGCTAGGCTTGTCCCACAAATTGTGATGGTTTGACTCGGTGGTTCCAAATTTTGTTTCAGTTTTGTTTGACATTTGCCTTCCCCACTCTTAATTTAGACTTCTGTTGTATTATTAAATAAGTATTCTTGGCGTTTTTTTGCCCCTTAGCCACATATTCACGTTCTCAGGTATGTGTGCATGGGTTTTCAGTCTTAAGGAAATCCTTCACTCTTCCTACTGAATTAACAGGAGAAAACTGCTTAAATTTGGAAGAAATAGATTTTACTTTAAGCGGGGTAGGCCTGCAACCTCAGTCTTAATGCAAAATTAACCCAGTTATGGTTGCAATCCTAATCCCACATATTTTGATGCAATGATTGAAACCCTAATGAATTCAATAGAACTTACTTCTGAGTAGACATAGTTAGGGTTGTATAATATCACCACCTTGCCCCACTCAGTGTCCCTTGATCACAAAAACCAAGGATTTTTAAAGCTGCTGGCTGAACTCCAAAAAGAATAACATTTCAGTAAATACGTGGGCTGGTTTTCGTTTTGGCATCAAAATAGATGTGCCTATCACTAAATGAGGCACAGTATTACATGCTGAATTCTTTTGAGCTGTGGATCAACAGTAGATCTGGTTGAGAATGCAAAGTCGTAATTATCAGAATGCCTCTGATCACGTGCCAAGTGCATTTTTCCTCCATTACAGAGTAACTGCAGCTAACCTCCATACTTCTGGGATTGGAAAGTAGAATACCTAGGTGGGCTGGAGCTTGCAAATGTTGCTCTTTTTAGAAATTAATCACCAAGAACAAAAAAAGGACATTGGCTATGCCTTGGTTATTAATTCACATTTAGTACACTTGCATGTTTGAAATCCAAAGCTAAACTTTTTTTAGACAAAGGTTAATGTACGTTAATTTAAAAGATGCCAAAGAATAATTTATGAATGCAAAAAGCTAAGTACTGCAACCAATTACCCCATATAGAAGCACTTGCAGATTCACAATATTTTTAAAGTAATTGTGTTTTTCCTCAAAATGCCCCCCTAAATCCAGATCTTCTTTTTTCATTGGCCCACAAAGTTCCAAAAGAATAATTACTGTAAAATCAAGTAATAGAAAAGTATCTCATATGTCATCTAGGCTAGACCAACCAGGAAATCTTATACCACTAAGGCATTCCTGATAATGATTTATTACTACTAGTACTGCCAATTTTATTATCATCACCACTAAGAAAAATAAGAGTTTTGGGTGGTTGTTGTTTCATAATATCTAGGATAGCAATATTTAATTGGCTCAACTGATCGACAAATCAACCAACAATTTAGTAAATTAATCAAGGAGGAAATTTTTAATCATTAGGACCAAGAGCTGGGAACACACTTGTGCTTTTTCTAAGGTTATTTTGACCACGTTACTGTAACAGTAAACTACTAATATGAAAAGTGGCATTTCCTTGTTGCAAAGATTAGTAAATTTTGTGCATTAAATTGTAAGCTCTCTTTCACTTCCTTCAGTCCAAGGGCCATTCAGGACCCACGCTGCAATTTGTTTTGATGGTTTTTAATAACTGATTTTTAGTTTGCGGCAACTCGCCCTGGAACCTGGAGAGACCGCACACGCGCCTCGGGCAAAAGTTTTTAAGTCGCATGGAACCCGGAGAGACATCCGAGTCGATTTGTATAGGATCAGGCTGCCAAGCGCGGCAAAAGTTATTGAATCGGTTAAAAACACACACACACACACCACATGATTTCTCGAGCTCTCCTATTGATTTCTGCATGTTTGCGCCTTTCTTTCTTTTTTTTAAAAAAGGAAAGGAGCCACCCAGCTTGGAATCTTGCGCATCGAATAACGCATGGAAAATATACGGGACGACAGGTAGCAAACCCGCCTGCAACCCAACCGTGGCGAAACAGGAAGGTTCTCCTCTCCCCCTGCCCACATTTTATAGCGAGCTGGTCTGGTTGGTTTGTCTCTCCAGTTTGCGCAAGCGCCACAGACCGGCTCTGGTGGTTGGAGGGAGCCGCTGCTGTTGCCCGGAGCATGAACCTCGAGCAGCGCAGGAGGATGCGCCGCGGCCGGTAGCTCCCGCCGGACACCTTGCATTGAGGGCCCGCCACTATGCGCCAGGCCTTGACTCAGCCGCGCCCCAGCGCGATCCCCCTCTCCGATTCTGTGGGTGAGGCGCCTCTTCGCCGAGGGGAAAGGAAAGGAGGGTGTGGATTTGGGGAAGGGGCGCCCATAGCAAGTGGGGCAGGAGCGCGCGCGGGAACGGGGTGTAACTGGGTGTCGCCTTTTGCGCAACACTCTTTGGGTCCTTTCCCCCCCCTTTTTTGCAAAAACCAGAGTCGTGGGGTGGGTATTGGGTCGTTTGGGGAAGTCCTGATCGCCTGGACATACAGCACGCGCCCCAGGCCCGCTCCTCTCTCTCAACCTGCAGCCCCGGCGCTCGCATTGCAGCTCAAGGCCAGAAATAATTTTTTTTTAAAAAGCTTGCAACGGGAGTGGAGGCGGCCCCGGGTGAAAGGCGAGCCTTGCTGTTTTCCACATGCCTGAGCAGAGAAGCTTGGGACCGTTTCTATTTAAAATCGCCACTGCTTGTTTGTTTTTAATAAGGGAGGGGGTTGTGGGGAGGAGGCTTAGGTTATTGCTGTTTGGAGACCCTTGGTTTGTATCACTTGGTTTCCTTTGGTCTGGAGGCCACGAGGCTGTTTCCCCCCACTGATTGAGTGGCCTTGTGTTATTAGAGGATTTAATTTGCCCTATTGGTGAGTAGGCTGAATATGTGGTCACCAGGCTGCTACTCCGTTCATTTATTGGAGCAAGGCCTGCAACTCAGTGGGAGAGCATCTGCTTTGCATGCAGAAGGTCCCATGGTCAACCCCAAGGCAGTGCTGCAAAACACTCCTACCTGGAGGGCTGCTGCCAGCCAGTGTAGACCAGCCTTCCTCAGCCCCTGTTAGGTGGGCTTCATGTAAAACAAGGTGGAGGAGAGCCTTAACTCAGTAGAACTTGTGCTTTCCATGCCAAAGAGCCTCAATTCAGTCTGGCATTTCCTTGTAGGTCTGGGAAATACTCCTGCCTAGATAACTGCTGCTGTTACTTTTCTGGTTGAGGCTGGTGGGAGATGTAGTCCAGCAGTCTAGAGGGGAGCAGGTTGGGAAAGGCAGTAATGACCTACATGGAGCAGTGGTCTGAATCTCTCATAGGTAGCTTCCTGTGTCCTTGTTATTTATTTCAAACGCCCATCATCCCTGACCGTTGGTCCTGCTGGCTGGTGCTAAGAGGAGTTGGAGCCCAGGAACATCTTGAGGGCCACCATTTCTCTATCCCGGTTGCATAGGATTGTGCTAAGAGAGAATTTCTGCAACACTGATATAATAAGATGCAGAAATACAATATATCACAAGCTTTTGAATATGGAAGCCTCGTTGCTGGGCAGAACTTGACAATTCCTTAAATCAGATTTCCTGGGGACAGATTGAGTGGGCCAACTGCCAGTGATGGACCTTGGGATCTCAGATTTTAGTGGTGCCCTGCGTGATGCCAAAATTCAGCACCAAATTCATGCCAAACTTACTGCAGTCTTAACTGTATTCTAAATCATAGCTGTGCCACCCCCAAGGCTCTGCACCCAGTGTGACCAAACCAGTCACACTCCCCTAAATCTGCGTCTGCAACTGCCCTGCACCCCCCCCCCGCCCATTCATTTGCCCTCTCCCTCTGAACCCAGTCTGTATCTCTGGGCATAAAGAAATAGAAAGGCAAGCAAAACCTTCTGTTAGAAACATAGAGAGTTGTCTTATACTGTACTGAGTCAGACCATTGGGTCCACATAGCTCAGTATGTCTACACTGGCAGCAGCTCCCCACCGTTTCAGAGATGGCTTCTCCCAGCCCTACCTGCAGATGCCAGGGCTTGAACATGGGACATTCTGTATGCAAAGCAGGTACTCTGCTGCTGAGCGATGGACCTGTCCTTGCTTTTGGAAATGCTTGTGCACTTAGAGAACAGCAGAAGAACAGGGAGCTGCAGCAACAGCAAGGAGTTGGCTCAGGGTTGGGGAAGAGATTCAGGGGTCATCAGCTGCCCCTCTGTTGTGGTGTGGTCTTAAGGCAGATGCCCTACCATGCCAACTTCTGATGCCAGTTGTGGGAACAGGACAGACATATTGCAGAAGAGAAGGGTTTTTTAAAGAAAGAAAGAAAATGAAGGAAAAGAAAGAAAGAAGTCATATTGGATATTAACAAATCTAATCAGCTGTTAGTTCAGAGTTAACTTGCTGCTAATCTGGTTGTGTTCTTCCTCCTCTTCTCTTTTAACAAATTAACTGAATGAGGTTTTTCCTTGCCATGGCTTTTCTTATTTGCCACACCCTATTGGCTAAACCACAGGGCTTACCGATCAGAAGGTCGGCGGTTCGGATCCCCATGACGGGGTGAGCTCCCGTTGCTCGGTCCCTGCTCCTGCCAACCTAGCAGTTCGAAAGCACGTCAAAGTGCAAGTAGATAAATCGGTACCACTCCGGCGGGAAGGTAAATGACATTTCCGTGCTCTGCTCTGGTTCACCAGAAGCGGCTTAGTCATGCTGGCCACATGCTGACCCGGAAACTGTACGCCGGCTCCCTCGGCCAATAAAGCGAGAAGAGCGCCGCAACCCCAGAGTTGTCCATGACTGGACCTAATGGTCAGGGGTCCCTTTACCCTTCACCTATTGGAGAATGTGAGGCACTACTTGCTGCTTGCAAATGTGAATTCATGTCCCTTTTCTCAAAGATCAGCAAGAGCATTCCCCACATTTAACGTACTTAGCCTTGATAGCACAACTGGTGTGGTCCCATCAGAAAGGAGTAAATCTTCAGACTTAGAAATGCCACAGGAGAGGGGGCGTGAAATGCAAAGTCTTTTCACGTGAGCTTGGGAGCCTGTGCAAGCGCATGTGTGTGCCGTTCAACTGAATGCTGGGCAGCCCCCCTTGAAGCAGGTTCAAGATGCAGAACTGGTTAGGACTTTGAGTGCATTCTTTGAGGGAGGATATGCCTCATTATTTGGTGCTTTGCAATGTGATTTAGCTTTCTTAGCTGGGAGCATAAGAACATAAGGAGAGACAGCTGGATCAGACCAATAGCCCACCTACTCCAACATCCTGTTCTCACAGTGGCCAACCAGATGTCTATGAGGAGCCAAATTGCAGGACCCGAGAACAAGAGCACTCTCCTCTCTTGCAGTTTTCAGAGCTGAAGAAGCATTATTTCATTTGGCTATGAAGGCAGAGCATAGCCCCTCATGGCTAGTAGCCATGGATAGTCTTAGCCTCCAAGAATTTTTCTAATCCTCTTCTGTGAGGCTTATGCCAGTGAGATGGGCCTTTATGAACTACGGGACCTCTGTGGTGTGTATTTGGCCGGCCAGCCACTAATACTCTCAGGAGGTCACTGGTTTGAGTCCCTCAATGGGCAAAGCATTGCTTCTCTCTGCTGCCTTGGAGGGAAAGTGCTATAGCTCAGGGGCAGAGCATTTGTTTTACACACAGAAGAGCCCCAGGTTCAATCCTCAGCACCTCCAAGTAGGGCTGAGAACATCCTCTGCCTCAAATCCTGGTGAGCTGCTGCCAGTCAGTGCAGACTGTGTTGAGCTAGATGACTAAGTCATCTGCCTTGGTATAAGGCAGCTTCCTATTCTCTTACGTAGAGGGTAGTGCTAGATCTAATGTTGTGCTAGGTTACATTTTAGTTGAGTGTTGGGTGAAACTTTTTGATAGAGCAACTACGAAAATAACTATCTAGAGCAGGGATGGCGAACATCAGACCGATGACTGGCCCTCTGGTTTCTCCCAGGCCACATGCCCCTTACCAGCCCTGTTTCTTACCCTCCTGGAATACTTTTGCCTGGCTGGAATGTGTCCTGGAACTCGAACCATGTTTCTTGTTTGCCCAGATGAAGGCTAGAGTATAGATTTAGAGCACTTGGTCTGTCCAGTTTTGCCTCTGGCTCTGCCCTCCTCTGGACTGTGGCTCACACAGTCTCAGGCTGAGAAAGGTTCCCCACCTCTGACCTAGAGGGTTAGTGGGCTGTGCTTCACAGGAGATTTTTCAAGAATGGACGGCCACCCATTGGGAGTGAGTTGGGAAGTCAGGATTTTAGGAAGGTGACGCAAACCTGCACAATTTGTGACTCGCCAACCTGAATACAGCCTGCTGGTCACATATAAGGTAAAGGTAAAGGGACCCCTGACCATTAGGTCCAGTCGTGACCTCTGGGGTTGCGGTGCTCATCTCGCTTTATTGGCCGAGGCAGCCGGTGTACAGCTTCCGGGTCATGTGGCCAGCATGACTAAGCCACTTCTGGAGAACCAGAGCAGTGCACGGAAGCGCCGTTTACCTTCCCGCCAGAGTGGTACCTATTTATCTACTTGCACTTTGACGTGCTTTTGAACTGCTAGGTTGGCAGGAGAAGGGACCGAGCAACGGGAGCTCACCCCGTCATGGGGATTCGAACCGCCGACCTTCTGATTGGCAAGTCCTAGGCTCTGTGGTTTAACCCACAGCGCCACCCACGTCCCTCTGGTCACATATAGTCACCCGCTAAGTTCTTGACAATTCCCCTTATTTTTGCCTTTCCTGGCATGCTTGTTTCTCAAGCCTTTGGTGGGGGGATGGGTTGATTTGGGCCATTATTTAAATCACTAAGGGAAAAGGCAGGTTTAAATGAAGTTTCAAAATGTCTACTTCAAAGTTATTTGATCATTTAAAGATGATTACGACTGAATACAGCCTTTCTTTTGCCAAGGATCATAATCCCACACCTCTTGTGATAGAGCCCCGCAAGGCTTTTGCACTTCAAAAGAAAAAAATTAGGCAGGGGAACAACAATAAAATTAAGGAGCTCTATTTTGGTTCGTTGTACATATGCAAGGACACTAAGAAAGATCGTTTCCTGGAAAACCAATGGCAAAGTCCTACTTAATGTTATTTGTATGCTACCTTTCCACAATTCAAACCATGCTCAAGGTGGCTTACAACATTAAAGCAATATATAACTACAACGTAATAAAAGCAGTCATAAACAATAAATAAAACATTTAAAATGCTGCAGTGCCTTATACGTAGGGGTGCCTCTGAAAAGGGTATGGTAACTTGAGCTGGTGCAGAATTCTGCAGCCAGGTTGCTCACTGGCAC